TTAAATAAAAAGAAGTACAAATAGCCCTTAAACAGGTGAAAAGATTGATTGATTTATTGCACTTTGTTTTCCATTTTAGGAGTTGCTTTTACATTTTATTTTATTTATTATTATTATTATTATTTGAGATACAGTCTCACTCTGTTGCCCAGGCTGGAGTGCAGTGGTGCAATCTCGGCTCACTGCAAGCTCTGCCTCCCGGGTTCATGCCATTCTCCTGCCTCAGCCTCCCGAGTAGCTGGGACTACAGGCACCCACCACTATGCCTGGCTAATTTTTTGTATTTTTAGTAGTGACAGACTTTCACCGTGTTAGCCAGGATGGTCTCGATCTCCTGACCTCGTGATCCACCCGCCTCGGCCGCCCAAAGTGCTGGGATTACAGGCGTGAGCCCCCACACCCAGCCCGCATGTTAAATACTTTAAATAGCCTGCTACAAGGTAGGCAAGTACTCAAGAAATCTTAGCCGGTGTTATTCATGCCGTCTGCAACTCCTTCCTCACCATTGTGCTGATGAGGCCCATGGTATTAGATCCTCCATTCCTGAGATGAGAAAAATGTGATTCTGAGGCAGCTGTGGTCCCTCCTGGGGTGGCTTGGCTGGTGGGTGAGAGGCCAGTGTTTTAAACCAACCCAGGCTCCAGCTTGGGGGCCCTGACCCCACGGCAGTTGAATATTCAGTAGGTCCATGCTGTTCTATATTCAAAGACCTTTGTTCGTGGTTAATAATAGCTCTTTGTTTCTGCTAGCGGGAGGGTAGCCTCCATGCAGGGCTTAGACCCTTTTCCTTCTCAGGGTCCACACCCGCCCTACCCTCATATTGGCTCGAGGGAGCCACTGCCACTAATGGAAGTGTGTCATATCCTCAGGGTGTGCTAGGCAGGGAGGTAGAAGGGTGGGTGAGGCTCGCAGACTTGCGCATGGAGATTGGCAGGGCCCCAGCCACGTGTCCGTGTGTCATCTACAGTGGGACAGCTGCTCCATTGTGTCTGAACTTGCCCATCCGAGAAAGGCAAAGATTACAGTGTCAGAGCCAGGCCTTGACCGGTCCCCACCGGGCCCTGCCCCTGCCCATCCTCATCCGGTTGGTGCCTTTATGGAGCTCTGTGTGTGCCAAGCACTGCCTGGGACCGTCTACCCATGTGATCCTCCTTAATGTTCATAAACAGGCTGTGTAGCAAGTCCTGACCTCAGCCTTGCAGCCTCCAGGGTGACCTTTTTGTTTTTTGAGATGGAGTTTCGCTCTTGTTGCCCAGGCTGGAGTGCAATGGCATGATCTCAGCGCACTGCAACCTCCGCCTCCTGGGTTCAAGCGATCCTAAATAGCTGGGATTACAGGCATGCACCACCGTGCCCAGCTAATTTTGTATTTTTAGTAGAGACGGGGTTTCTCCATGTTGGTCAGGCTGGTCTTGGACTCCTGGCCTCAGGTGATCCCCTCGCCTTGGCCTCCCAAAGTGCTGGAATTACAGGTGTGAGCCACCGTGCCGGGCCCAGGGTGACCTTTTTTTTTTCCTTTGAGACAGATTCTCAGTTTGTCGCCCAGGCTGGAGTGCAGTGGCACGATCTCAGCTCACTACAAGCTCTGCCTCCCGGGTTCACGCCATTCTCCTGCCTCAGCCTCCCGAGTGACTGGGACTACAGGCGCCCGCCACCACGCCCGGCTAATTTTTTGTATTTTTAGTAGAGACAGAGTTTCACCATGTTAGCCAGGATAGTCTCAATCTCCTGACCTTGTGATCCGACCGCCTCGGCCTCCCAAAGTGCTGGGATTACAGGCGTGAGCCACCACGCCCGGCCCAGGGTGACCTTTAAAACACAGTCGAAGCATGACATCTCAAGGTTCTGCCGCAGCCTACAAAGTCTGGTTTGGTCCGACCCCAGCCACCCTTCTGACTTCAGCGTTTCCATTCTCCCTGTCCTAAATACCTATTGTTGCTCAACACACTGCTCCAAACGTGCTGGCTTAAGCCATGTTATTATTTCTGCTGATTCTGTGCATCAGGGATGACTCGGGGCATGGGGTAGCCCGCTTGCCCTGCTGCCTGGGATGTCTGCTGGGGCTGGAGTGCCCAAGATGGCCTCCTCACGGCGATGCCTGGTGAGGATGCCCCAGGGATTTTTGTTGCTGTTGTTTTCTTTTGTTTTGCTTTTTTTGAGATGAAGTCTTGCTCTGTCACTCAGGCTGGAGTGCAGTCGTCCAATCTTGGCTCACTGCAACCTCTGCCTCCCGGGTTCAAGCTATTCTCCTACCTCAGCCTTGTGAGTAGCTGGGATTACAGGCGCATGCCACCATGCCCAGCTAATTTTTTTTTTTTTTTCTATTTTTAGTAGAGATGGAATTTCACCATATTGGCCAGGCTGGTCTTGAACTCCCCATCTCAGGTGATCCACCTGCCTTGGCCTCCCAAAGTGCTGGGATTACAGGTGTAATCCAGGTGTGAGCCACCGTGCCTGGCTGTCCCAGGGCGTTGAAGACAGGAGCCTGGGGCCTTGGTTCTTGCAATCACCCAGGTCCTTGGTTCTTTTTGTAGGCTTAGGGGCTCTTCCTCTCCACCTTGTTGTCCTAGGTAGTCGGACTTCCTTCCAGGCAGCCCTGGCCCAAGAGCACAGAAGTGGCTACTGCAAGGCCCTCTTATGACTTTGGGCTGGAAATGGCAGAGCATTACTTCCATTGAGTCCTTTGGTTAAAGCAAGCACAGGTCCAGTGCAAATCCAAGGAGGGGACCACGCAGAGGGCCAGTGTGGCTCACTGGAGGCCACCAACAAAACCGCCTACCAGGTTCTTGCTCATTCACTCTTCCTCCAACCTGTCACATACACTCCTGCCGCTGGGCCTTTCCACTTATGGGTTCCCTCTGCCTGGGGTGCTTTCCCCCAAATATCCAGGGGTCTCACCCCTTCCCTTCATTCATCTAAATGTCACCTTTAAAGAGAGACTGTACCTGACCCCACCTTATCAAAAACAGTTCACCCCCCCTCATATCACCTCTGTCCCCTGATACCACTCCTTTTTTTTTTTTTTTTTTCCATTGCACTTGTCACTTCCTGGCGTAATATTTACTGCCTGTTTATTATTTGATCTCCCTCTCCCCCATCTCAGAATATAACTGCCACGTGAGTAGGGCACTTGCCTTCTTCACTGCAGTTCCCTTAACTCCAGATAGGACACATGGTAGATAGAGCTGTTGAATGAATATTTGAGATGAGGAAACAGAGCTTAGAAAGGTTGAGTAACTTTCCCAAAGACACAGAGCTAATAAGTGACAGAGTGGGGATCCACACTCAAACATTTAGCTTCGATCAAGAAGCCGTAGAAGCTTTGCTGCGTAGGGGTAATTGCTTAGGTAATTATGGCTGCCTGCCCCCTCTTCTCCTTGAGTCCTGTCTGTCTCCACTCAGATTGATCTTCCCGCAACTAAAATCTGATGAGGGGTAAAACCCATCTTGAAGGTAGCTTCCCTCCCCTTCAGCAGAAAGTCCACCTGCCTTAGCCTGCTGCCCAAGACACAGCAAAGCTTGACTTCTAGCACTGGCCTGATATAGAAATAAGGGTTTTGGAGTCAACCCTGGATTTGTCTGCCATGCGCCCAATCACCCGCTCTCTAAATGCAAGTAAATTGGGAATGTCATTCATTCTAAGTGTCTGTGGTTAACAGGGCGGTCAAGCTGGCTGAAGGCTGGTCTGGAGTGGCCTCAGCTAGGGCGGTCATCCCACATAGTCTCATCTTCCGGCAGGCTCGCTCAGGCTTGTTCTGGCTGGGTTCCAGAGAGAAGAAGTCTGCAAGACTTCTTAAGGCTGGCCTTAGAACTGGCCCAGCATCACTTCTGCTCTATTCTGTTGGTCCAAGCAGATCAGGAGGCCAGTCCGGATCCCATGAATACGTGTGAAGCTCTTAACACCATGCCTGACACACAGGAAATGCTATTATTGTTGATGTTGTTGCCATGCATTTGCATAGTATACTTTACGCTTTTTAGAGTTTTACTGAATACATTACTATACCCTACACTGTGGGAGGAAGTTGGAGCAAATATTACTAGCCCCATTTGACAAATATTTAAAATATTTAAAACTTTGGGCAAGTTTAGATAACTTGCCCAAGGCCATGCTTTTAGCTAGTGGCTGCAGCCATACACTGGAAATCAGATGTTGTGCAATTTAAAGCATGTCTGCAAACGCATCTGCAGAAAGTGAGCCCATCTGCAGATGATTTCATTGTCCTGAGCACCACCGTGGTAAATATAATAAGGTCAAAATGCTGTCCTCACAGACCCAGGCTAGTAACTATCTGCAAGGGTCAGTGATGATGCCCAAGATCCAAGTTTCCTGCTTGGCTTCCAAACTCACTGGAGTGAATGATGGCTTTTTCTTTTCTTTTACAAAGAGAACCTCTCTCTAGATGCCAGTTGCTTCTCCTCTCCACCTGTGAACTTCCTCCAAGAATTGCCAAGCTACCGGTCCATTGCACGCAGGAGAACGACTGTCCATTCCCGGGACAAGCAAAGCGGCACTTTGCTAAAGTCAACTGACTCTTACAGCTCCCAGCTGGAGGACAGAATCGCTGAAAACCTCAGCAGCCAATCTCTTCGAAATTATGCACTGAACATCTCTGAGAAGCGGAGACTAAGGTTTGTTCACTAGCCACCTGGAACCTGCATTGTGTATGTTATGGCCTAGAGGTACATTTTGTGCATGAAATGCTTTTCCTGAAGAGCTCATATAATTAAAATTTTATTCCTTAGGGTAAGTTAAGCCTCTTTGACAAAGATACCCGAACTTTCTTCTCCACTCCTACTGCTTCACTTGACTAGCCTTAAAAAAAAAAAAAGATACCCAAACATACTCAACATATTAGAAGTTTCTTTCTAGGCCGGGCGCAGTGGCTCATGCCTGTAATTCCAGCACTTTGGGAGGCTGAGGCGGGCGGATCACGAGGGCAGGAGATTGAGACCATCCTGGCTAACACGGTAAAACCCCATCTCTACTAAAAATACAAAAAGTTAGCCGGGCGTGGTGGCGGGCGCCTGTAGTCCCAGCTACCCGGGAGGCTGAGGCAGGAGAATGGCGTAAACCCGGGAGGTGGAGCTTGCTGTGAGCTGAGATTGCGCCACTGCACTCCAGCCTGGGGAACAGAGCGAGACTCTGTCTCAAAAAAAAAAAAGGTGTTTCCTTCCTTCCCTCCTTCCTTCCTTCCTTCTTTCCTTCCTTCTTTCCTTCTTTCTTTCTTTTCTTTTCTTTCTTTTTTGAGACAGAGTTTCGCTCTTGTTGTCCAGGCTAGAGAGCAATGGTGCGATCTTGGCAACCTCTGCCTCCCAGGTTCAAGCGATTCTCTTGCCTCAGACTCCCGAGTAGCTGGGATTACAGGCATGTGCCACCATGCCTAGCTAATTTTGTATTTTCAGTAGAGACAGGGTTTCACCATGTTGGCCAGGCTGGTCTCGAACTCCTGACCTCAGGTGATCCGCTTGCCTCGGCCTCCCAAAGTGCTGGAATCACAGGCATGAGCCACCGTGCCTGGCAGTTTATTTCTTGCTAGCATAAAGTACTAGGAACTGAGGGACTTTGCAGCCATTCAGGGATCCAGGCTCTTTCCATCTTGCGGCTCTGCATACCCCTAAAGCCTCATTTTTGTCTGCAACCAAGCAGGGCAAAAAGAAAGAGTTTGGAGTATGAGTATACCAGTTAGCTACGCAGCAGAATAAATCACCCCACAACTGAGTAGCCTAAAACAATAGTCTCTCAAGTCTACCAGTCAGCTGGACAAATCCTAGTTTCAGTTGGGCTGAATCTTTATCCATAGTCAGCTGTGGTTGGGGAGGTGGCTCTGCTGATCTAGGCTGGGGATCAGCTGGCTGTAAGCTGGTCTGGGGTGGCTTCAGCTGGGATGATTACATGGTATCATCATGATAGCTCGGGTTTGTTCGCATGGCAACAGCTGGAGCCCAAGAGAGGATCAGAAGCCTGCAAAACCTCCTGAGACTAGGCTTAGAACCAGTTCAGCTTCCCTCCTACTGCAGTCTGTGGTCTAACCAGATCACAGTCCAGATTCAATTTGGTGGAAAGAGATTCTTCCCACTAATGGGAAGAGCTGTAAAGTCACATGGCCACGGGGCGTTCACACATTCATTGAGTCATTGGGAGTTTTGGGAGTGGGTTAAGAGCCAAGTCTGAAAGGTTGGCTTTTAACATTTCTACCAGAGAGAATTTAGCCACATGGTCATAACCTAACTGCTGAGAAAGCTGGGAAGTGTCTCCAGCTAGTGCCAGAGAAGGGGAGAATGGATTCGGGTGGTAGCTTGCCATCTCCCCCATTCTTGAAGAATTTAAAACATAATTTTCCCATTGACCTGGTGTCATGACAGAAGTGGGTATTTCTGCTTAACTCTCGAATTGCTCCCCCCACAGGGTCAGTAGCATAAATTCATTAGAAAGGTCAGGCAAAGTGGCTCATGCCCGTAATTACAGCACTTTGAGAGGCTGAGGCAGGAGGATTGCTTGAGACCAGGAGTTCCAGACCAGCCTGGGCAGCATAGCAAGATCCTGTCTTTACAAAATAAATAGATAAATAAGTAAATAAATAAAATAATAGAAAAATTAGCTGAGTGTGGTGATGTGTGCCTATAGTCCCAGCTACTCAGAAGGCTGAGGCAGGTGTATCACTCAAGCCCAGGAATAGGAGGGCTGCAATGAGCTATGATCATGCCACTACCCTCCAGCCTGGGTGACAGAATAAGACCCTGTCTCTACGAAAACAACAGCAAAACAAAATAACACGTTGGGCTGGGCACGGTGGCTCACGCCTGTAATCCCAGCACTTTGGGAGACCGAGGCAGGTGGATCACAAGGTCAGGAGTTCAAGACCAGCCTGGCCAATATGGTGAAACCCCGTCTCTACTAAAAACACAAAAATTAGCCGGGCATGGTGGCGGGCGCCTGTAGTCCCAGCTACTTGGAAGACTGAGGCAGGAGAATTGCCTGAACCCGGGAGGCAGAGGTTGCAGTGAGCCAAGATCGTGCCACTATTCTCCAGTCTGGGCGACACAGCAAGACTGTGTCTCAAAAAAAACAAAACAAAACAAAAATACAAAATAACACATTGGATGATGCACATTGGATGATACACTGTGCCTTGTAGGTTTGAGACTATGTTATCTCTGGTTTTATTTTTAATTTGGGTGGTCTTGTATTCTCAAAAAATATTGAGACTTTATAAATGTATTTCAGCTGGTACAGTGGCTCATACCTGTAGTCCCAGCACTTCAGGAGGCTGAGGCAGGTGGATCGCTTGAGCTCACAAATTTGCGACCAGCCTGGGCAACGTGGTGAAACCTGTTTCTACTAAAATTACAAAATTTAGCTAGGCATGGTGGCGTACTCCTGTAGTCTCAGCTACTCAGGAGGCTGAGGTGGGAGGATCACCTGAGTCCGGGAGATTGAGGCTGCAGCGACCCAAGATGGCGCCACTGCACTTCAGTCTGGGTGACAAAGCGAGACGCTGTCTCAAAAAAAAAAAAAAAAAAAAAAAAAAAAAAAAAAAAAAATTTTGGTGCTCCCTTTGGCGGCACATATGCTAAAATTGGAATGATACAGAGAAAATTAGCATGGCCTCTGAGCAAGAATGACACACAAATTCATGAAGCATTCCATATATAAATGTATTTAAAAATCAAATAAATAAATAAATAATAAATGTATTTTATTTCCCACTCTTTCAGATTCACAGATTTTGAATTCTTATAAACTACTACTGCTCTATACCCAAACTCTGCCACACCTAAGAGAGAGACATATTTTCTTCCATCAAGGGACTTCCAGGTTCACTGGAAAAATGAAACTAACAGACTCATGAGAGCAGGGCCCATGTCTATGTGGTTTACCAGTGAATCCCTAGAAAGTGGCAAAGAAGGCTGGGTGCAGTGGCTCATGCCTGTAATCCCAGCATTTTGAGAGGCCAAGGTGGGTGGATCACCTGAGGTCAGGAGTTTGAGACCAGCCTGGCCAGCATGGTGAAACCTCATCTCTACTAAAAATACAAAAATTAGCCAGGCGTGGTGGCGGGTGTCTGTAGTCCCAGCTACTTGTGAGGCTGGGGCAGGAGAATTGCTTGAATCCAGGAAGCGGAGGTTGCTGTGAGCCGAGATTGTGCCACTGCATTCCAACCTGGGTGACAGAGTGAGACTCCGTCTCAAAAAAATAAAGTGGCAAAGAAAAGGACACAGGAAAGATCATTCTTTTTTTTTGAGACAGAGTCTTGCTCTGTCGCCCAGGCTGGAGTGCAATGGCACGATCTCTACTCACCACATCCTCCCCCTCCCAGGTTCAAGCAATTCTCCTGCCTCAGCCTCCTGAGTAGCTGGGATTACAGGCACCCACCAGCATTCCTGGCTAATTTTTGTATTTTTAATAGAGACAGGATTTCACCATGTTGGTCAGACTGGTCTCAAACTCCTCAAACTCCTGATCCACCCGCCTCGGCCTCCCAAAGTGCTGGGATTACAGGTTTAGCCACTGCACCCGGCCAGGGAGGATAATTCTAATTGCTAACAGTTGTTAGTCTAAGCTCTTTATTTCCTTTAATCCCCACTCCACCCTCTGAGGCAAGGTTTTCAAATTATTATTATTATTTTATTTATTTATTTTTAGACGGAGTTTCGCTCTTGTTGCCCATGCTGGAGTGCAATGGTGCGATCTCGGCTCACCGCAACCTCTGCCTCCCGGGTTCAAGTGATTCTCCTGCCTCAGCTTCCCAAGTAGCTGGGATTACAGGTATGCGCCACGACGCCCGGCTAATTTTGTATTTTTAGCAGAGACAGGGTTTCTCCATGTTGGTCAGGCTGGTCTCAAACTCCCGACCTCAGGTGATCCGCCAGCCTCGGCCTCCCAAAGAACCGGGATTACAGGCATGAGCCACCGCACCCGGGCTATTTTATTTATTTATTTTTGAGACGAGTCTCACTCTGTCGCCCAGGCTGGAATGCAGTGGCGCCATCTTGCCTCACTGCAACCTCCGCCTCCTGGGTTCCAGCGATTGTCCCACCTCAGCCTCCTGAGTAGCTGGGATTACAGGCGCCTGCCACCATGCCTGGTTAATTTTTTGTATTTTTAGTAGAGACGGGGTTTCACCATGTTGGCCAGGCTGGTCTGGAATTCCTAGCCTCAGGTGATCCATCTGCCTTAGCCTCCCAAAGTGCTGGGATTACAAGCATGAGCCACCGCGCCCAGCCGAGGGAGGGTTTTTTAACCTTAGCATTCTTGCTTTTTTTTTTTTGAGACAGAGTCTCGATCTGTCGCCCAGGCTGCAGAGCAGTGGCGCCATCTCGGCTCACTGCAAGCTCTGCCTCCTGGGTTCACGCCATTCTCCTGCCTCAGCCTCCCAAGTAGCTGGGACTACAGGCGCCTGCCACCACGCCCGGCTAATTTTTGTTTTTTTGTTTTTTTTTTTTTTTTTAGTAGAGACGGCGTTTCACCGTGTTAGCTAGGGTGGTCTCAATCTTATGACCTCGTGATCCGCCCACCTCGGCCTCCCAAAGTGCTGGGATTACAGGCATGAGCCACCACGCCCAGCCACACTCTTGCTTATTGACATTTAGGGCCAGATCGTTCTCTGTTGTGGAGGGCTATCTGTGGATTGGAGGATGTTTAGTAGCATCCCTGGCCTCTACCCACTAGATGCCAGAAGCATGTCCCCCTCCCCCAAGTTGTGACAGTCAAAGATGTCCCCAGACCATTGCTTGATGTTCTTTGGGAGGTGTGCAAAATTGCCTTCACTTGAGAACCACTGATCTAAGGGTAGGTACTTTACTAACTCCAATGTACAGATAAGGAAACTGGCGCACAACACAGGGAGGCTTGTTTGGATGGGAGGTTCAAGTCCTTTTCTTTAATAGGAGCTCCCTGTCTGATGGAGGAGGACAGACTGGTGGGAGGGTGGAGGCATGTGCCATGTGCCATGGATGGTTGGCAAATTCCTCATGTTTCCTCTCTCGCCTTCAGGCCCCAGCACTTTCTTTTTCCCCTGCTCTCCTTACTCCTTCCTCTAACACCAACTTGGACTTGGGGCATCTCCTCCAGGTTTCCAGAGCCCTGACCACATCCCCTTTTGTAGCACTTCTCCCAGGGAGCTGTCGTTGTTGAATGTCAACATGTTTGCTTTCCCTGTAGACTCAGGATCAGCTTTGTGGGCTGTGCAGTCTCTGTTGCAACTACTCAGCTCTGCTGTTGCAGATGGTTCATAAATGAATTGGCACGACTGTGTTCTAGGAATGTTTATGGACACTGAAATTTGAATTTCATGTGATTTTCATGTGTCACAAAATACTATTTTTCTTTTGTCTTTTATTTTTATTATTTTTATTTAAAATAATTTTTTTTTTTGATACAGAGTCTCGCTCTGTCACCCAGGCTGGAGTGCAATGGCATGATCTTGGCTCACTGAAACCTCCACCTTCTGGGTTCAAGCGATTCTCCTGCCTCAACCTCCCTAGTAGCTGGGATTACAGGTGCCCGCCACCACGCTTGGCTAATTTTGGTATTTTCAGTAGAGACGGGGTTTTGCCATGTTGGCCAGGCTGGTCTTGAACTCCTGGCTTCATGTGATCTGAGAACTGCAGGGCGCATGGTTACTCTGTTTGACATTTTGACGGACTGCCAAACTTTTTTCCATAGCGGCAGCAGCATTTTATATTCCTTGCAGCAATGTATGAGAGTTCACATATTTCTCTGTCCTTTCAGCTGGGGTTTTATGAGATGCTGAGTCTTTTTCTTTTTTTTTCAAGACGAAGTTTCGTTCTTGTTGCCCAGGCTGAAGTGCAATGGCACAATCTTGGCTCACTGCAACCTCCGCCTCCCAGGTTCAAGCGATTCTCCTGCCTCAGCTTCCTGGAGTAGCCAGGATTACAGGCACCCGCCACCATGCCTGGCTAATGTTGTGTTTTTAGTAGAGATGGCATTTCACCATGTTGGCCAGGCTGACCTTGAACTCCTGACCTCAGGTGATCCACCTGCCTCGGCCTCGGCCTCCGAAAGTGCTGGGATTACAGGCATGGAGCACCGTGCTGGGCTGGGATGCTGAGTCTTGATGCTGCTGCTGTTGTGATTGTGATACTTATGTTTTCCATGCAGGGACATTCAGGAGACACAAATGAAGTATCTCTCCGAGTGGGACCAGTGGAAGCGGTACAGCAGCAAGTCTTGGAAGAGGTTCCTGGAGAAGGCTCGAGAGATGACGACCCACCTGGAGCTGTGGCGGGAGGACATTCGCAGCATAGAAGGTATCCCGCCCCGGCCTGTGTGCAGGCTCCTCCGCAGAAGTCTCTGTGTCTGGGGAGCAAGTACAGCTTCGTTTCCACTAGCGTCTAGCTGAAATTGAGCATTTCGTTCCATGATGAATGTGAACAAAAAACCACCGCCAGGTTTAGCAGAACCTGTGTCTTTGTCACCAGGAAAAAATCATGGATATTTTCCTGTCCCTTCCAGTTGTATTTATCTTGGAATACCGCTAATGCCCATGACTGCCTGGAAATTTCAGTCGTTGTTAGACTTGCCGCTAGATCTTGTTATTTAATGTGCTAGTGAAGACCAGGCACAGTGGCTCACTCCTGTAATCCCAGCCCTTTGGGAGGCCAAGATGGGTGGATCACGAGGTCAGGAGTTCAAGACCAGCCTGGCCAACAT